GTCGCGCATTGCGCGCGCATGTGCGTCGCGCATGTGCATTGTGTGCATGTACGTTGTGCGCGCGTGCGCCCTGCATTGCACGTTGGAGGCCGCTGGGTGAGGGCGTGCCAAAAGAGCGGGTAAGGTACCATGAAAGCCTTTGGAGACAAGCCATCCACTTTCATAATCTAAGGTGGCGGCAGAAGGGGTACCCGATTGAGGAATGATTGAGCTTGTGGCCAAGTGCGCGAGGCGCGCCTAGACGGCCACGCTGGGACACCGAAATGGCATCGTGCATCATTCCTCGCTTGGGGAGGGGCGCCGAAGACCGAGGATGCGGAGCGGTACGCCGACAGCACGTGTTTCGACTGGTGTGGTCTTGGGTGTTTCGACTGGCGGGGGTGGTCGGGGGGATGAGGGAGAGGAGGAGCGTTTCGGCTGCACCATGGCTAAGCTGGCGCCTGCCCTGCCGAGCGCCGAGGGCGCCCGTGCCGATAAGCTCAGCCTGGTACTCGATGTCGGCGCACCCGCCGATGAGCTCAGCCTGGAACTCGATGTCGGCGCACCCGCCGATAAGCTCAGCCTGGAACTCGACGACGGCGCACCCGCCGATAAGCTCAGCCTGGAACTCGATGTCGGCGCACCCGCCGATGAGCTCAGCCTGGAACTCGATGTCGGCGCACCCGCCGATGAGCTCAGCCTGGAACTCGATGTCGGCGCACCCGCCGATAAGCTCAGCCTGGAACTCGATGTCGGCGCACCCGCAGATAAGCTCAGCCAAGTACCCGATGATGGCGCACCCGCCGATAAGCTCAGCCAAGTACCCGATGACGGCGCACCCGACGATAACGTCAGCCTGGTACCCGATGTCGGCGCACCCGACGATAAGCTCAGCCTGGAACTCGATGTCGGCGCACCCGCCGATGAGCTCAGCCAAGTACCCGATGACGGCGCACCCGACGATACGCTCAGCCTGGTACTCGATGTCGGCGCACCCGACGATAAGCTCAGCCAAGTACCCGACGACGGCGCACCCGACGATAAGCTCAGCCAAGTGCCCAATGTCGGCGCACCCGACGATAAGCTCAGCCAAGTGCCCGATGTCGGCTAACCTGGGGATAAGCTCGAGCTGGTACCCGACGACGGCGCACCCGACGATCAGCTCAGCCAAGTGCCCGATGTCGGCGAACCTGAGGATGAGCTCGGGCTGGTGCCCGACGACGGCGCACCCGACGATAAGCTCAGCCTGGTACTCGATGTCGGCGCACCCGACGATACGCTCAGCCTGGTACTCGATGTCGGCGCACCCGCCGATAAGCTCAGCCGAGAACCCGATGACGGTGAACCTGCCGATGACGGCGAAGTTGCACTTGCCGATGTCGGAGGGAGCCTGGCCAGCGGACGGGCGGGGGGTCTGCTCCCCATGTCCTCCACCCCGCCCGCTCCTCCCCTGGCACTCCTTCGCTCTGGCCCACCGTTCCTCCTCTCCGCCTCTTCCGCCTTTCCCCACCTTCCCTGCCGTGCCTGCCCCTTTCTCTCCCGCCCGCCACGTCATCATGGCGCCTCCGCTCCGCGTCGGCGGGCGGTGTGGGGCACGATCCAACACTTTAGTCGCTGCTGCTGCTGCTGCTGCTGCTGGAACTGCCACTGCTATCACTGCTGTCGTCCGCTGCGAGCGCCGCGGATGCGGCGTCGCGGAGCGCATCTCTGATCGGCTGCGCGGGGAGCGCACCCGACTGCCAAGCTATTTGCAGGTCGTGAGGGGCATGATCGCCAGGAGGCGGGAGCGCAGACTCGAGCTGGTCTGCAGTATATGCCCCGACGGGCGGCAACTGCTCGGGTTCGACGCTCATGTGCCCGCCACTCTTCTTCCTATCTCTGAGGCCGTACCCCGCCAGACACCAGCCCTTTAGGGCCAAACGGACCTCATCCATGTTCGAGCCGTCGGTCTTGACCTTTCTGCTTTTCGTGCACATCGTGTTCACGTGGTCACCTTCATCTCTGTGGAATCTGCATGTGGCCTGCATGCGAATGTCGACTGTGACGCCATTTCGTTTTTGCACCGAGCACGTGAGCCTGAAATGGCCGAAGGCCCCAGACTCTGGGTTCTGGTTGTGCCTGCGCGGTGCGGCCGCCACCGCGGGAGCTGGTGTCGGCGGCGGCGGCTCTGGGGGCGGTGGTCCCGTTGGGGGCTCGGGCGGCTGTGGACCTGGCGGTTCGGGATGGGGGGGGTGCGAGGGGGGCGATCGCTGCTGCTCAGGCGGCCCCTCGGGCTCTGAGCGTGGAGATGGTGGCTGCGGCCCTGGCGACGCTGGCGGCGTCGGCGCGCCTGGGGGCGTCGCCGCGCCTGCGGCCCCGACTGAGGGTGGAGATGGCGATCGGGGCCCTGGCGGCCTTGGCGACGCTGGTGGCGTCGGCCCGCCTCCGATCGGCGTCGCGGTGCCTCCGACGGGCGTCAACGGAGAAGGGCCCAGCTGATCTGTTGATACATCGGGCGGCGCCCCTGGAGCGGCTGGCGAACGAAGCTCTGGCGAGCGAGCCCACGATGGCGAATACTCTGCGTCGGCGGTGTCGGGATCCTCGGAACCATCTGCGCCCTAGGGCGGCGAAAACAAACAAAACGGCACGCATGCACCCACCTCTCGACTAGCCACGTGCGATAAACAAGCACATGCACACATTCGCAGAAATTCTGTGTGTCGCTGCACGGGGACCAAGGTTCGCATCAGAGGGGTTACACACGTCAAACACTAAAGAACGACGCATCTGGGTCGCTGGCCGCGGTCGGTGGGTGCACGCATACCGCTGTCGCGTTCTCCCCGAACGCCTCGCCCCCGCTGCCCTCCAGGATAACACATGCCTTATGGCTCTATGGGGTAGGGTGCGAGGGTGGACGGGCCAGGGCCTGGGGAAGGTTGCACAACGACCACTCGAACGCTCTCGCCATGCCTCTGGTGCCTTCCCCCTCCCTCACACTACTCGGCATGCCATGTCCTACCCGCCCACTTCAGACCGCCCCCATCCTGATGCGTGTGCCGCTCCATCATACGCCCCATGTTCCACCGTCCTCCACATTTGTACCCACCCCCCTCCTCCTCCATCCCAGTTGCGACCCTCTTCCCCCTGCTCCACCTCCTTCAGATCTCCGCGCGAGCGCAGTCCCGCCTCGCCTCTTGACAACCCGAAGGCGTTGTCGGAGCTGCGTGCCAGTGGCCCGCTCGGCTCCAGAAAGGAGTGACAGACAACACATGGTGTTTACATTGTTTAGCACATGTGAGCGGGCAGGCATGTTGCGAAATGTCGTGTCAAGGCGTTTCGTGCTGGAGCCCCACATGGGGCCACGAAACGTACGAGGGACTTGCCGAAGTGAGTGCGGGTGACGCATGGAACCTTCGGTGGACCTCCATATGGCGAGGGGTTTGCCGATGTGTGTGAGTGTGTGGCTGACGCATGCGGGCGGTCTCAATGGGACCTTCGGTGGAGCTCCCTATGGGGGCACGAAATGTGTGAGGGGAGTGCCGAAATGTGTGTGTGTGTGTGCGTGTGTGTGTGTGTGCGTGCATTCGGTAGGGTCCCGTGCGGGGCAACTAAAAGTGCAACGGGTGTGCCGAAATGGGAGTGCGTGACGCATGCGGGCGGCGCCACTGGGACCTTCGGTGGAGCTCCCAGTGGGGCCACACAGCGCGTGAGGGGTGTGCCGAATCGGGTGTGCTTGACGCGTGCGGGCGGTCCCACTGGCGGAAGATACAACGATCGTCCTAGTCCTCCTCCTCCTCATCCTCCTCCTCCTCCTCCTCCTCATCCTCCCCCTCATCATCATCATCATCATCATCATCATCATCATCATCAGCATCATCATCATCAGCATCATCATCATCATCATCATCATCCTCATCCTCATCCTCATCCTCATCCTCTTCATCCTCATCCTGCTCCTCCGTTTCCTCATCCTCATCGTCCTCCTCGTCCTCGTCCTCGTCCTCGTCCTTCTCCTCCTCCACCTCGCCCGTTCGTGGCCTGCGCAGGCTGGTCCAAGACTTCAGCTAGTCGGCCTGTCCAGATCTTGATCCACTGTAGGCTCTTCAGCTTCCCTGAGCAATGCAACTCGCATGGGCACCGTTTCTGGATAGGCAGGTGGGGATACGCGAAACGTCATAATTTGCATAATGCGCATATTAGGTAATAATGGCCTTAGTAATGGTTGTGGTTTTCGTATGTGTATCAATATTGTTATTATTACATATAGTATTATTCTTTATTCGCAGTATTAGCAGTACTATTATTAGTAGTGGTGGTATTAGTACTAGTAATAATAATAGTAGGAATAGTAGTAGTAGTAATAGTAGTAGTAGTAGTAGTAGTAGTAGTAGTAGTAGTAGTAGTAGTAGTAGTAGTAGTAGTAGTAGTAGTAGTAGTAGTAGTAGTAGTAGTCGTAGTAGTAGTAGTAGTAGTAGTAGTAGTAGTAGTAGTAGTAGTAGTAGTAGTCGTCGTAGTAGTAATAATAATAGTAGTAGTAGTAGTAGTGGTAGCCGTCGTAGTAGTAGCAATAGTAGTAGTAGTCGTAGTAGTAGTAGTAGTAGTAGTAGTAGTAGTAGTAGTAGTAGTAGTAGTAGTGGTAGTAGTGGTAGTAGTAGTAGTAGTAGTAGTAGTAGTAGTAGTAGTCGTAGTAGTAGTAGTAGTACTAATACTAGTACTAGTACTAGTACTAGTACCAGTAGCAATGCACTTTGTAGTAGTATTAGTAGTAACACAAGCATAGTTTAAGTAGTCGTGGCCGTAGACGCTGCAGGCTACAAAACAACACGACCCTGCCAGTGGCAATCGCGCGGCGGCCGCGCGGATCGGGCACTGGCGGTTCGAACGGACCGCTGTGCAACCCCTGGCCCCTTTAAACCCAGTGGTCCGCCAGGGGCGGCGGCGCAGCAGCCGCGTCCTCGAGGGCTGGCGGGGCAACAGCGGCGCCCTGGGCTGCAGCGCCGTCCTCGAGGGCTGGCGCGGCGGCGGCGGCGGCCATCGGCCGCCGTCATCGCTGCCTTCTTCTGCGGCACTCCCCAAGTGTCGTCCTGGAGAGCCACCCGCTTCTGAGCTGGACGGACGGCGCCCGCGATGAGGGCGTAGTCCCTGTCGGCGAGCCCGTGGGCCACGACCGATTTACCCTGCAGGAGAGCCCGAATGTACGCGGGGCAGATCTTCTTCTTGGAGGCCTGGTAGAACCACACCTTGGCGCCGCCCTTGGGGTCGTACGGAGCGGGGGGCGGTCGTGGCAGAAGCTGGCCCGCGAACCCCTCGCTGGACGCGTCCAGGAGCAGCTCGAACAAGGTCTTGTCCTCATGGTGTGTGTGGGGTGGGGGAGGGTGCACGGCAGTGTGTGTGTGTGTGTGGGGGGGGGGCATGCTCTGTGGGCGGGTGGCGCAGGGGCGCGACCACCCGCCCACAGAGCATGCCCTCAAAAAAATTTCCCCGCTGTGGAATCCTTGTCCAGGACACCAGGCCTGGCCGTCAGCGCTGGGGCTGGCTTCACGAGCTTCTCGAAGGCGGCCAGGTCCCGCATGCCAGCGGGGCTGATGTTCCAACGGTCGAGCTGGTCGCCAAGGTCCCCCGCCTGCCTGTCCACGAGGCCAGCCTCCTCCAGGGCCTCCAGGGCGCGGGAGGGCGGCGCGAGCAGAGATGTCTCTGCGCCAGGGAGAGCCCCCGCCACCACCATGTCAGTCATCGCCTCGGACGCATTCCCGTAGAGGTCCCTGGGCACGCTGGCGGGCCACGCCCGCGGCTGGTAGAACACGCCGCCCTCTGCCTGCCACTGGAGGAAGTCCAGGTGCAGACGCGGGAGCGCCTCCAGATGGCGCCTGTGGAGCAGCGACGTGGAGCCGACGTCTATTGCTGCGTCGAAGTCGTGGTCATCGGCCACGGCGGCCTCGCCAGCCCGCACCCCTGTCAAAGCCACCAGGAGCTCGGTGGACCCGTCTAGTCGGTCGTACCCGAAAACGTCGTGCAGGGACACGGCCACGTCATCGTGTGTGAGGTTGGAGCTGTGCGGTTTGATGATCTTCCGACTCGCTGGCGTCTTGTGCACCACCTTGAGGAGTGTGTGCTCGTGTGGCTCCATCGCAGGTGGGACACCACCAGGCGCTGCCAAATCCAAACCGCCTTCAGGACCACCCGCGTGGGCAGCAGCACCCGCGGGCAACATCAAAGGTGGCGTGTATTCCTCGTCTGTGAGAGTCAGCACCGCAGGCGCGTCAAGCCGCCGTGACCCAGAGAACGCCGCGCCCATGTCAGGGAACGCGCCGCGCGGGAGGGCAATCGAGTAGAAAGCGTCTCGCCTGCACGTCTTCCTGAAGTGCTGAAGTGCTGCCGCTGAAAGGAACCTAAGCCCGTGGTGCGTGGACTGGTCTGGCCGAGGCCCCTCGCTTGGTCGCTTCTCCTTCGGGAAAGCACCCTTCAAGGCTGTGTGCTGCTTCTGCTGGGTCGCTGGGTCAAGACGGTAGATCACGTTGGTGGCCGTGCTGGCGCGGACGCGCCCATGCTTCGTGAACTCCGCAAAGACAGCGGGGTGCGCGTGCAGTCCGAAGGCCTCCAACAAACGCTCCGTTGAACACCTGATGCGGCCCAGGTCGTCGGCCGTCCGCTGAAGGAGGCCTGGATCGGCCTTCATCCGTCTGCGGAAGTCAGGCAACTTCAGGTGCACGTTCACAAAAGCGCCCCCCGCGTGCGGCGAACGCGACGAGGAAAGCTTGTTGAGGCGGTGCTTGGCCTCGATGGACCGCTCTGCAACGGGTACGCCGAGGACCATCCCAGCGACCTGCCTGAGGCCAGGGAGGCTGCTCAGAGGGGCACCGTGCTCTGTGAAGGCCACAACCTCGCCCCGCAACGGGGACGAGGGGTCCAGCGTGCGCGCGGCCAGAGGCCACAAGCCACTGCGCGTGGACTCGTCGAGGGCCTCGTACTCCTGGAGGCAAGCCAGCAAACCAGAGCGCGCCGTGTCTTCCGAGGCCCCGCCCGCATCAATGGCCCCCAAGACGCAGAAGCGGTGAGGCAGGAAAGCCCAATGACTATACTTGCTCTGGATGACCTCCATGAGAGCTGTGCGCGCGCACTCCCAGCCCCGCACGATGAAGTCGCGGTCCTGCTCCCGCAACCCGTGGCAGCGGACCAGGAGCAGGCCCAAGGATTGGTCCACCAGGTCGCGCAAGTACGTATTGTGCTGGCCGGCGGCGAGATCAGGGGCCCGCCGCCCCCGCATAGGGCAAGTGGAGAACTTCACACCTGTCTCCCCGACGAAGGCCACCCGCCTCTTGAAGTAGGGGCGGCCTGGGGCGAACCCGTCCTTCATGCGGAAGTCCTCTGCGTGGCAGGGGCACGACTCCAGGAAATTCTGGAATTCGTACAAGCAGCCGTGCACGGCGAAGAGCACGGCATGCCCGTAGACCCAAAAGGCTGGGTCGCGTACTGCCTTGGCAGGACACTAGGGGTGGAGAAACCCCCGTCGAAGTAACCGAACACTGGCCGCCTTCACAATCGAGACCACTACAACGAACGCAGCGCCACGCATACACTGATGCGTGGCGCTGCCACGTGGCTTTGAGGAGGAAAGGCGGGGAGAGGAGCGAGGAAGGGGAGGGAGGAAGGGGAGGGGGGAGGGGGAGGGAGGAGGGGGGGGAGGAGGGGAGGGGGAGGGAGAGGGAGGTAGAGGGGGAGGGAGGAGGGGAGGGGGAGGGATGGAGGAGGAGGGGGAGGGGGAGGGGGGAAGGGGAGGGAGGAATGGAGGGAGAAGGACAGGGAGAGCGGAAGGGGTGGAGGGAGAGGGGGAGGAGGGCAAGGAATGTGAGGGGATGGAGGCAGGAGGGGTTCAGACGACGAAGGGGGACGACGACGATGATGACGACAACGACGGCGGACAAGACGCCGAACTCTCGATCCCTGTGGCAGCCTGCCGTCGCGGGCGGGACAGCGGTCCGCCAGAACGGGCGACGGTGCCTGCCACGGTTCCTCGGCGATGTTTCGGCGAGGACGACAGGACGGGGGCGAGGCCAAGAGGACGATGATGATGATGATGATGATAATAATGATATGGGCGTTGATGATCGTAACGGAGGAGAGGAGGGATGATGATGGTGATGATGGTGATGATGATGGTGATGATGGGCGTTTCGCTTGTGACAATCCTCCGAATGAATGGACTTGGGACTTGTAGCCTGTGGATGTGCACAGAGCGTTGAACTATCGACAGGGGTCTTGCCCTGCGAGACGGCCAGTGCTCGAGTTACTTCGACAGGTGTTTCCTCCCAGCCCTGTGGCCCGCGACCTCATCAATCAGCTGCAAGTCGGCGTCCGTGGTCTCCTCCTCGCCGTCGGCGGGCGGCTTCTGCGCACGGGCTTCACCAAGGTCAGGGTCCAAGCTCGCGCAAGCTGGGCGGCCGTCGTCCCCAGAGCGGCGTTTGAAGCGGTCCAGGTTCCAATGTGTCCGAAGCCCATGCTCCGCGAATTGAAGCTGCTGGAGCGCTGGTATCCATGAGCCGAATCTCCATTCTGTCGGTTTCGTGCACACATCTCGCAGAGGCTTGTGGTGAACGGCGGCCTCGGGGCTATCGAAGCAGCGCTCAAGTAACCTATCTTTTGTGAACTTGTTGCACAGCAAGAGTATCAGCGGCTTGGCCCGCTTGAGGTACCATTCCATGTTAGTGAACGCCTTGAGCACGTCTTGCAGAGCATTGTTGGTGATATGCAACACTCCCGCCACCTGGAGTGCCCCATCAAAGAATGCTCGCTCAGTGGGCGTTGCTGCACCTGCGCTCCTAAGAGAGCCCACAGCATCGGGGCCAAGGGGCTGGGTCCACGCAGCGGCTTCGCTAGAGCCTGCTGCGCCGCCGCCGCAATCAGGCTCCGTCTCAAAAGTAAACGGCTGCGCTCTGTCGCCGCCTGCTTGCGTCCCGTCGGCGCCGTTGTCGTCGCCCCCGCCAAAGCCCGCGGGCGCAGAGCCGTCGTCCAGCATGGTGCCGAACATTGTGCCGCCAGCGTCAGTATCCATAACATCACACTCCCTTGGCACGGCGCCGCTGTCGACCGTGATGTCGAAAAACTCGTCCTCAATCTCGGGAAGATGGGGCGCTGCGGCGCCGTCGTCCATCGTGACCTCGAAAGCGGGCGCGGGTGCTGGCGGCACTGGGGCAGCCTCTCGGTCAACAGCCATGGCACCGTGAAGGCCGCTGTCGTCGGGGAGCACGACGAAGTCCATCCAGTGGGGGAACGCCTGCGTCAGATCGACCGCTCGGGCTCCAGCAAGTTTAGATTCGGTGCCCATATCTGTGGTAAGTGCCAAGATCCTCTGGGTTCTCTGCTGGCAAGAAATCGTTGTGCTGGAGCTTAACCGAAACGAATGCACGATCGCGTGCAACTTGTCCGTAACACTTGTGGCCTGTGACCCCAGCCCAACAGCCGTCAACATGTGGTGACTCCATAGCGAGGCGAGTTCGCTCGACAAGGTTTGAAGTTTCCGTGCTGCCGCCTGGTAGTGCTCGCGATCCTCCTCGTCCATCTCCTCGGGCCGCAACGTCCCTCTCAGAAACATCCTTGCGTCGTGCCGCCAGTACATCAGCTCCCTGGTGATCTCCCACGAACGCCCAGGGTCGGAGCACTCGAAGGTCTCAGTCAACATCCAGTCTGTGCCCAGCAGCGGGCTGGAATCCGAGAGCGCGTATTCCACTGATGATGGGGTCGGTTGCCTCCTCTGGTCCTCCAGGAGCATGGCCGCATCAAAGACCTTGAAGTATCGTTTGATGGTGCTAGCTGAAACCAGGCTGCCGTCTCCGAATGACTCCACGATGGGATCGGCGATGGACTTGTGAAGGCAATATCTGATGGCATCTCGGAGAACGCCTTCCAAGTGCGCAGCCCCGTGCAGTCGCGTCGATATGAGCACTGCGTTGAGTATTTTGCACGCGGCGTGGACCCTGGAGCCACCCAACTCGTTCTTGCCCTGTGCCCGAAGTGCGTCGGAAACGGCGCCCAGGAACCGCAGCGACGCGACCACGTCATCTCGGTGCTGACTCTGCCCATCCTCTTTGGGCACGGAAAGAATGGGCATAATGCCCAACAACAAATGTTAACCCAAACCAACGGCGGCCGCTGTTGGGCAGGCGGCATTCTGCCTCAAATGGACACAGGCCGCGGCGACACCGACAGCGAGCCCTGTTCAGAATGAACAGGCACTGCTGTTGGGCATTGTACACGTTTATTTCCGTACCCATTTCGGGCGTCCAAATCCTCTTGGATAGCGTCGTAGCAGGCTCGAACCGTTGCTGCCACCTTGTCCAGGACGGCTGGACGAAGCTCCATCTCTGCCGAACTATGCTGCAACTGAAAGGCCGACGGGGCGGCTGGTAGTACTGAGGCTGGTGCATGCATCCCAAATGTGTCCCTGAAGATGGCGGCATCAGCGTGTCTGCAAGCGCCCTCCCACATGTACACCGCCCGAAAGGCGCCGCGGATGATCAGGGGGCACATCGGCCACTGGGGCACGTGCGCCCACGCGCCGTCGCCACAGACATCGAATTGGAAACCATCGGCACGCATATCCTGGATTGCGGTGGCCACCACGTCTAACCCGAGAAGAGACCGAACGCTGGCCGCGCCGAGGCGGACGAACACCTTCCTCGCCGACCACTCCTTGGTAGCAAGCACGTCCGTTGCTGGGACGCTCGGGAACGTCTTAGTACACAAGATTCTGCTCGAAAACAGCGGACCGTCGTGACCAAAGCTCCGCACTGCACACCGAGTCTCTGGATCCCCAGCCCCGAGCTCCACGGAAATAGGCGATGACGGGGCCAATAAGAGCAGCCCGACCACTGCGGTGGGCTCCGACTGCGCCGAGTGGGGTGCCCAGCCGCCTCAGGAGGAGGAAGGGTGGGCGGGCGGTGGGGATTGGGGGGGAGCATGGGCTGACCTTGCTCGGTGGATTACGCTGATCCCGTGACCCATACGCGGTTGCTCACGCAGACCCTTCCCGCAAGAGCTCCAGAGGTTGTCTTCCCTCAGGGCCCCAAGGTTCCCTTCCCCCATACCCCGCGACCCTCAAGGAACCCCAAGGACCCCTTTGCCTTCGAACATCGCTGGCCTACGTCCGCGATCCAAGCCGAGTCCGCAGGGCTCGCGATGAATGTGTCGCGACTGGCGTTCCCGCGGGGGGACGCCCGTGCAACCAAATAGACAAGCGTGGCCCGTGTCATCCTCCGGGGTGCTCAAATACGAACGGGCGGGTGTTCGGGGGGAGGGGGTGGACAACAAGAAACTCTACATGGCCCCTCTGGGTCCGCACTGGGGCGACAACGGGGCGTGGCGAGGAAATTGGGAGAGGTTGAGGGTTGGGAACAAGGCGGGGGTGGCGGGGGAAGGAGGATAGGGGATATGGGGACGGGGAGGGGTGAATATGGCGGCAGGAGAAGGGGCAATGTGCGGGGTGTCGGCATGTATGAGGGGCGCAATGGGGCGGTGGGGAAGGGAAAGATAATGAAAGGGCGAGGGGGAAAGGGAGGGGTGGAGGGAGGACAAAATGGCACGGGGCTCTCCTGGCACAAGATCGGCTCGAGGCCGAAGATGTGCTGAAATATGAAGGTCGGCCCGAGGCCGAAGCTGTTCTGGAATATGAAGGTCGGCAGGAGGCCGAAGCTGTTCTGAAAGATGAAGATGAAGGATGCGCCTGGGAGGATGGCGGGGAGAGCGGTGGAGGGCCGCGCCCCCGCGCCCTGAGGGGCGCCTCCGCATGGACGAAACCAACGCAAGGACGGAGACGAAGGACCAGGAAGAGGAGGAGGAGGAGGAGCAAGAGGGATAGGAGGATGAAGAGGAGGCATGTGCCGACGAGGACTAGTACAGAGGGGTGGGATGAGGCGGCAGGGGGGAGTGGGATGCGGATGTACGGGAGGGGGACAGCAAGGGCGAGTAGGATGGAAATGCGTTGAATTAGGTGGATGGGGATGCGGGGCGCGAGCGGAGGGGGGAAGGGGGCGCAGGAACAACAGAAGGAGGAGGACCCTGGCGAAGAGAAATGAGAAGGTCTGGCGATTGGTGAGGCGGTCGTCGCCGTCTTTGTTCTCCTCCGCCTTCGCCTCATCTTCATGTTCCTCCCAGGCCTCCGACGTCATCATCTCTTCGCGACGTCGCCCCCTGGAGCTCTGCACAGCATCCCTGGGACTGTCTGTCTCCCCTGGACAGAGCTTCGATGACCCTGGGGCCCCAGGGGGCCTGCAATTGCCGATGCTGCAGAACGGCTGTTGTAGTACCTGCTTCATCCCCCCCAGGACGTTTGTCGACCGTCGTCCTCCGCCTTCTCAGCAGCAGCAGCAGAGGCATCAGCACCAGCATCAGCACCATCATCACCAGTATCATCATCATGACCTCCACAACCAGAATACTAATCACAAAAATAAAAAAAAATAATAATGATAATAATAATGATAATAAGAATCACAACCGTCATCATCATCACCAGCAGTACCATCACCATCATCATACTCATCATCATCATCACCATCATCATCATCATCATCATCATCATCATCATCATCATCTTCATCATCATCAGCAGCATCACCAACATCAGCAGCATCGTCGTCGTCATCAGCATCATCATCAACTTCACCACCACCAGCACCAGCATCAGCATCACCAGCACCACCACCACCACCACCACCACTTCCATCATCATCATCATAATCAGTATCATAATCATCATCATCATGATCACCATCATCATCATCATCATCATCAGCATCATCATCCTCATCCTCATCATCATCATCATCATCATCATCACCATCGTCATCCTCCTCGTCCTCCTCCTCCCTCTCCTCCTCCTCGTTCCCATCCTCCTCATCCTCCTCGTCCTCGTCCCCTCGTCGTCGTCCGCCTCCTCCTCCTCCTCCTCCTCCTCCCCCGCATCTTCCTTCCCCTCCTCCTCCGCTCATGGGCCTGTGCAGGCTGATCCAAGACTCCAGCTTGACGGATCCCCCAGATCTCGATCCATTGTGTGCTCCCCCGCTTCATGGAGCAAGACATCTCGCTTGGGCATCGATTCTGGACGAGCCCACATGAGGGCCAATACATCCCCGAACACCTCGGAGGGGCGGATGAGGACGAGGAGGAGGAGGAGGAGGCGGAGGAGGAGGAGGAGGAGGAGGGGGGGGGAGGGGACGTGACGCGCGAGGGGAAGGGGGTTTGGGTTGAGGGCTGTGGAAGAAGGTTCACGCTCAGGGAGGGTGGGGTGGGAGGCAGACTTAGAGGGATTGAAGGATAGATGAATCAGATCGCACGTTGTTGTCGCCGCCGCCGCCGTCGTCGACGTCTCTGTCGTCGTCGTCGTCGCCCTCTTATGTGTAGTTCTTATGATTCAGGTTTCAAGATGAGGTCTCGGAGTCGATCCCCGCCCGCGGCGTCGGATACTTCGGGGGCGGGGGCGGGGCGGGGGCGGGGTGGGGAGGGGGGGAGGTGGAGGAGGAGAAGGAGCATGACAAGGAGGAGGAGAAGGATGACGAGGGAGATGATGATGATGCTGCTGCTGATGATAATGATGTTGATGATGATGCCGATGATGATGATGACGATGATGATGATGCTGATGATGATGATGATGATGATGATTATGGTGATGATGATGATGATGATGATGATGATGGTGGTGGTGGTGATGTTGGTGGTGGTGGTGCTGGTGATGATGCTGATGATGATGCTGATGATGGTGAAGGAGAACGAGGAGGAACTCGGATGATGGGGATGATGGTCCGAGCTTCCCGACGCCAAGACGTCGGGCCAGCCCGACGCCGTCGCCCAGCCCGACGCCTCTTCTCAGCAGCCCGACGCCTACGCCGCGTCCTGCGACTCCCAGCCCGACGCCTACGCCGCCGCCTCGCAGCAGCCCGACGCCAACGACTCCCAGCCCGACGCCTACTCTCAGCAGCCCGACGCCTACACCTACGATTCCCAGCCCGACCCCTACGCCTCGCAGCAGCCCGACGCCAACGGCTCCCAGCCCGACGCCTACGCTCTGCAGCGCGACGCCCTCGATGAGCAGCTCGACGCCATCGCTGAGCAGCTCGACAGGCTCGAGGCCATGGATGAGCAGCAGCCCGACGCCTACGACTCCCAGCCCGACGCCATCGATACGCAGCCCGACGCCTACGCCTCGCAGCAGCCCGACGCCATCGATGAGCAGTTCGACGGCAGAGCGGCAGCAACCCGATACCTACGCCCGACTCCGACGCCTACGCCGCCCAGTGCCCAGGCCTCGCCTGGGCCTGACGCCGACGACGGCGCCTGGGGCTCGACTCGGATTCGTCTGAACCCGACGACGGCTCACAGCAACGCGGGACCCATCGACCTGAACGCTGATGATGTTGCTGCTGCTGATGTTGATGCTGCTGATGCTCCTCCTCCTCCTCCTCCTCCTCCTCCTCCTCCTCCTCCTCCTCTTCCTCCTCCTCCACCTCCTCCTCCTCCTCCTGAGCCTCCTGCTGCTGCCGCTGCTGATGCTGCTGCTGCTGCTGATGCTCCTGCTGCTCCTAGTCCCCCTCCTCCTCTTCCACCTCTTCCTCCTCCTCCTCCTCCTCTTCCATCTCCTCCTCCTCCTCCTCCTCCTTTTCCTCCTCCTCCTCCTCCTCCTCCTCCTCCTCCTCCTCCTCCTCCTCCTCCTCCTCCTCCTCCTCCTCCTCCTCCCTCCTCCCCCCCTCCTCCCCCCGCGGCCGCCTCGGGCGCGCCGCGGCCGCGCCAGCGGCGGCCCGCGCGGCCCGCGCGGCCGCCGTGGGCGGGCGCCCTCGAGCCCGCGGCGCGAGCGGGCACGCGCGGCCCTCCTGCGGCCCTGCTCTGCTCCTCCTCTCTCTCCTGCTGCTGCTGCTGCTGCTGCTGCTGGCTGCTGCTGTCCTCCTCCTCCTCCTCCTCCTCCTCCTCCTCCTCCTCCTCCTCCTCCTCACTCCTGCTGCTGCTGCTGTTCGGACTCCTCCTCCCTCCTCCCTCCTCCTCCCCTCCTCCTGCTGCTGCTGCTGTTCCTCCTCCTCCTCCTCCTCCCTCCTCCTCCCTCCTACTGCTGCTGCTGTTCCTCCTCCTCCTCCTCCCTCCTCCTCCCTCCTACTGCTGCTGCTGCTGCTTCTCTTGCTGCTGCTGCTGCTCCTCCTCCTCCCTTCTCCTCTCCGTCTCCTTGTTCCCCCGCTCGTTGACCTCCCACGCCCTTTTTTCCTGCTGCACTTCAGAAAGGTAGGAAAAGGAGGTTTTTGGAAAAATTAGTGAGGAGAGCGATCTTTAACACGCGCCGGCCCTGGCCTCCCACCTGCGCGCTCGTCGCCGTCTGCCTGCTTACTCTCCTCGTCCCCGTCCGCCGGGCAACGCAGCCTGCCCGGGACCAGCGCGGCGGCGTGCAGAGCGTCCGCCCGGCCTTTTTGCTGCCTTCGCGGCGGGAGGCCGAGCCGTACCGTGGCGGCCTGCATGGCCGAGAGACAGCTTCCGGTCGCCGAGAGCGGGGAGGGCGAGAAGCCTCCGGCGCGCTGCTCTGCCAGAGCGGCTGGAGGTCTGGGCCCGCCTCGGGGCAGGCCCGGGCTGCGGCCAAATGGTCCCAGGAGCGTCTCAGGGTGCTCCCAAGGTCTATCTAGGCCTCCCACAAGGGGTCTGAGCAGATGGGGTCGGAGGATCGCGCCGCATCGTCGATGCATCTGCGATGCAGCTCGATGTCAAGCCCAATTTGCTTCACGTCGACGTCGGCGAGGCATCGGCGACGTCGGCGATGCATCGCCGGTGCATCCCCGATGCGTCGCCGATTCATTGGCGATACGGCGCGATCCTCTGACCACGTCAACTCTGACCCCATCTAGGAGGCCTCTAAATTGGTCCCAGAAGCGTCCCAGGGCGCCCCCAAGGGGCGTCCCTGGAACGCTCTGCAGGATACACCAGGCGCCACGAATCTCGAGGCTGCTTTGACAATCACGACGCGGAGTTCTGCGCAGGGCATTCGCTCCGACAGTCTGTGACTTGTATTGTGCCCTATGTCATATTTCTTTGGCCGTAGTTTCGACAGTCGCCATCTTTACAAATACGTATCGCGCCGTGCTGCCAGAATCCAGTAATCCTGAACGGGGGTCACGAGCGCAATCATGAACGGGGGTCAGAATTGGTTTGGGAGTTGAGGCGCTTGGAAACTCCTGTGGATTTGCGTGCCGGTTCTTGTGCTGGATGCCACCGACTCGACAGACACGTCTTTTGAAGATGTTCTGGAACCTCCCAGGACTATTTGGCAGGCGTTTTCGCTTGTTCCAGGTCGACGCCCATGTCCTCGAACGCATCGGGCACGCCCGTGCAACACGTTACGCTCACGTGCTATTGGCTGTGCCCGTGATCCGTTGGAACTGGTTCAGGGGCTTCTCCGTGAGGCGCGGGAGCGCGCGCAGCAGTGCAGAGACCAGGTCAGACCATGCAGCTGAGCCCCACTCCAACGCCTGAGAGCGGGAGGTGCTCTGAGAGGGAGGGCCCGCTCGTCTCCCGCCGGCTCTCAGTCAGGAGGGAAAGAAACACACAGACACAAGGAAGCGTCGACTCCCCAGAAAATATGGGAAAATATGGGAAGTGGTGGGGAAGACAAAAACCCAGAAAATATGGGAAAATATGGGGAATCCTTTTATTTGTGTGTATTTATTTGTGTGTCCCAGGGCTTCTTCACTCAGAGCATCCTGATTCGGGGGGTGCTGCCAGGGGATGTCCCTGGCCCAGGGTGTCCCCAGGGGGCCCCAAGGAGGCCCCCACGGCCTACAGAGCACCTCACGAGGCCCAGGGAGCCACATGGGGCTCCAGCACGGAGCGGCAAGCTGGGGACACCCTGGGCCTTGCGCCACGGACACGAGCAGCCACCCCCGACCGATGTGCCTCAGCCTGGGTTGCAGACCTGCCCGTGCCCTACGCCCCACCCCGGATCCCCCGCAGGAGCAGTGGCCCGCATTGTTCTTCGGGCAGGGCGGCTGCGGCTACATAGGCCGGGCCGCGCACCAGTTCGTCAAGCAGTGGCGAAGCGTCCCGGCTCGCCTGTAGCCCTACCAAACAATGGTCTAAGAACCTTTATGGTGGTTCCCACGAAATGTTCTTCGAACATGTTTGGCGGTGATAGGACTATGGGAGTGCCGGGACGGTTGGTCCCTGCGCAAGTTCGGGGGGGAGGGCCTGGTGGTGGGCGGGGGGTCACGCAGCGAGGTCGCCGCCGCCGCCGCCGCCGTCGACTGTTCCGTGTCGACCGTCCTGTTCTGTTCCGTTCCGAGGAGCCAGGGGCCCAGCCCAGGGTCCCGCGGGCGAGGGCGGGGCCTGCGCCGTCGCTGAGGGATGCCCTCGGCCTCCACTCTCCGCGCGGCCGCGGCGGCTGCCGCTGCTGCGCCGCGGCGGCGCATGTCGCGCGGAAGGTTCGGAGGCTGGGTACCAGGACCGTCTTGGTCAACGCCGTTCCCGTGCTCGTCCACCGCGCGACTGCGCGAAGACAGCCGCGCGTAGCGCACAGCGGCGCGCGATGCGCGAAGTGCGGTGGCCTGGAGTCCTCGGCCTCCCTTGAGCAACGCTGTGAGGAGCGGTCGGGAGCACAAACAGAGAGCACCTCTCGGGTCGGACCAGAGGGAGGGAGTTTGGGCAGGGGGAAGACGACATCTGCTGAATGCAGCTGGTTTCGGCCCCTACGCCATACCACTTTCTCGACATGCGGCTGCCCCCGGCGCTGGGATACGCCAGGGGATCAAAGCGATACTGCTGCTCACCAGACCTCTCCCGGAGTGCGTTCTGACCAGAGTTTCGAGGAGAATCCAGCCGTGCCGACGAGAGCTCTCCATGACGAGCAGCGGTATCCGTACCTTCTCCGCCTCTGCTTCTCTCTCGATTTCTTTCCTTCCCCCTTTCGCCAGACCCCGCCTTCCCCCCGCCGCCAGTGAGCCGCGGCCTCGTCGCCGTCGCTGGGGAAGCGGCCGGCCCCTGCCTCGAGTCCACGATGCGGGCGACGGAGGGCAGCGGCTGGGAGGAGCCGCGGCCCTGCCCCTCTGCCTCGCCTCTTCTCGCCCCCCCCCCCTCCCCCGCCCCCCTCGCTCCTCCTCTCCCCCGCGTCACCTCCAGTCTTCAGCAACCTCATTTCCCCTCCTCCGTCCCTCTCCCCCAAGCCCCGCCTCCTCCACCCATCCCCCGTCCCACCCGCCTCCGACTCCCGCATCGTTCCTCCGCTCCCCCTCCCCTCTTTCACCCTCTGCTCCTCAACCCACTCTTCCCTCCTGCACCCCTAATGTGCCGCCCCGCGTCCCCATGCCCTACCCTTCCGATTCAGAGGAGGAGAAGGATGAAGAGGAGCAAGGGGAGGAAACTACAACAAGGTAGCGGCTGGCCTGGCATGTTACAATGGATACCCGGCGAACGTGGACCACGAGATACGCACACAAGATGTCCATTGAGAAAGCCAACGTTGTGGTCCAGACGGACTGTGGCTTACGTGACGGTGATTGTGCCGCGGCTGCTTGGATAATCGGTCTGTGGGGTAAACTTGCTGATGGCCACCAGTACCAGTATGAACCGATCGTTGTGCACGGGACGCTCCTCGAGCTTCCATGCACGGCTGTCGGGCCAGAGGCTATCGCACTGGACGAAGCGTCACGCGAAGTTGCCGCTCTATTCTCTCAATGGAGGCAAACGGCTGGCGTCTAGGTGTCCTGAGACCGTCATGAACAGAACAGAACAGACAAAGGCAGGAGAAAGTATGACGGCGCGGCGCGGAGGCGATGGGGAAGAAGTTGCCTTCCTCACCATCCCCCCTCCCCCGCCCCCCTCGCTCCTCCCTTCCCCCGCACCACCTCCAGTCTCCAGCAACCTTAGTTCCCCTCCTCCGTCCCTCTCCCCCCACCCCCTCCTCCTCCACCCGTCCCCCGTCCCACCCGCCTCCCGGCTCCCCCCCTCCAGCAGACCTTGTCATCCGTGACCGCTTCCGCGCGCGAACCCCGGAGCTCCCGAGCCTGCTGCTCCGCCGCGGACAGTTTTTTTGTCTGCGGGCCTTTCTGGCCGGAGGCCCGTCCTGGGGCTGCCGAGACTGCCGATGCACCCGGTCGTTGAAAGGGCTCCTCCCCCTCCTCCCCCTCCTCCCCCTCCTCCCCCTCCTCCTCCTCCTCCTCCTCCTCCTCCTCCTCCTCCTCCTCCTCCTCCTCCTCCCCCCTCCTCCCTCCTCCACCTCCTAGCCGACGTCCTGGCCCGAGAGGTTTCAGGGTGCCTTTCCAGGTAAGGCGAACCTCTCCTCGCCCGGGACTGCTCCCAGATCCCAACCTACTTTTGGCCCCTTCCCTACTTCAAGGACCGACTGGTTTCCTCCTGCCTTTCTTTGCAGGGGTCGGGCGGAAGCGGCGGAAGCCCAATCTACTTAAACGCCTTCCCACTTGATGTTTCTACCCACTTCTTCCGACAGGCGTGTAACTGCTGCCGCGTCGTGTCGTTGCTTGTCCGCGGTGCCCGAGGCCATGGGCTGGCCCTGAGGAGTCGGGCCCTTCGGGAGACGGGCCCTGGGTCATGGGCGCTCCCTCGGCGAAAAAGCCTTCGTGCCGCGTTCCCGGCGGTGTTCCTCCTCCCCGATCCGCGGGACGGATGTGAAGAGCATCAGCGACGCGCGCGTCGTCCCTCAAATTGCGCGTGCTGTACGCTTGCTCTTTATGGTACAGGCTAGGACACGTGGATGGGATCCGAGTAGATGGGGTCGGAGGATCGCGCCGCATCGCAGATGCGCCGGGCATGCGGCTCGATGCGGAGCCCGATGTTCTCCACGCCGACGTCGGCGATGCCTCGCCGACGTCGCCGATGTATCGCCCATGCATCAGCGATGTAGTCGCTGATGCATCGGCGATGCGGCGGGATCCTCCGCCTTAGCGCCGCACACATTCGTTCTGAACCTTTGCAAGAATTTCACGGATTGAGGGCGGTTCCTTTTCAAAATGTGGTTCTCGCCTTGGCGCCGCGCACATTCGGTCGCAAGAATTTCACGGATTCCCATGATCAATGTACCAGAAATGGTGTTTGGGAAGGACTCTGGATTCAGAGGGTGCACCATTTATTTTCGCGGGACGGATGTAAAGAGCATCGGTGACGCGGGTGTTGTCTTGCAGACTGCGCGTGTTTCCCGTCTGCTTCTTGTATTTTCCCGGCAGCAAGCCCAGAGGGGAAGGGAGAAGGGGCGGGCCTTCTCGTAAGGCTCGGAACCCCCCATTGCCTTCTGAGAAGTGTTCTGAGCCTTCCTCGAAGACACAGGAAACCCATCAGAAGACGCGAGGGCTTCCAAGAAGCCTCGCCGCCTTCTGAGAGGGCCCTCTCCTTCTCACTCCCCCCCCCGCTCGCCGCCTACTTGTGCAAAGGCCTCACGTCGCCTCAGCAGCACCACGCCGATGTGGTCCTCCGCATGGCGTCTGCTCCGCCACTGTGGCTCCGTGCAGTTGGTGCCGTCCCCGCCGCCGGGCGCCCTCCCTCTGTATACCTCAGGGGGGACAAACACACAGACACAATCAATCGTGGATCCCCCAGGAAATGTGGGAGCATATGGGAAGTGGGGGGGGAGAGAGACAAAGACCCATAAGATCTGCGAGCATGTGGGGAATCCTGTGATTCGTGTCTATGTGTTTGTGTGTGTGTGTGTGTCCCAGGGCCCCTTCAGCACCCTTGCGCGCCTCTGGCGCCGGGAGACGCCAGAGGCACCAGCGGTGCGTGTGCTGGCTCGCGGACCCCGCCCTTCCTCGGACGCGACTGGGACGAGGACCAGGACAGATCCGTTCCCGAGCGTCCTGGAACGCTCTCAGAGCGCTCCAGAGCGCTCGGAGCAGGCCGCGGCGCCCAAGAGGTCCTCCAGATAGCCGCCGGATCTCAGAGCTTTGCGACGTGCCCCCGCCCGGATTCAGGCTCGTCCTGGCTTCGTCTTATGTCTGTTCGCCGACGCTCCTCCTCCTCCTCCTCCTCCTCCTCCTCCTCCTCCTCCTCCTCTCCTCCTCCTCCTCCCAGCCATTGTGGCTTCAGGGCGGCGTGGGCGATGCCCGGCGCGGCGCCGCTCCGCCGCGCGCGGCCCGCGCCCGGCTGGCGGCGCCCGGCTAGCCGCTGAGGGGCGGCGTCGGGCCCCGTCGGCTGCGTGGGCCCTGCTGGGGGCCTCTCGGGAAGCCCGGGGGGGCCCCTCGAGACTCTCGTCGGGAGCCTTGAGACGGGGGTCAATGCAAACGGGGGTCAGCCAGAGCGCCCGATCCTGCAGGATCCTGCACGGCCAGGTTCGCATTGACCCGGGTTTGGGTGCAGGATCCTGCAGGATCCCTCGCATTGACCCGGGTTTGGGTGCAGGATTTTGCAGGATGTTGCAGGATCCTGCAAGGCCCGGCTGACCCGGGTCTGCATTGACCCGGGTCAGCGGATCCCCGATCTCGGGCCGGACGAAGGGGGGGGATTGGGAAAGGGGGGGTACGAAATTGTTGCTGCATGCAGCTGGTTTTTTCGGCCTCACCGAGGGGCCCAGTCCTCGATACATCGCCGCCTCCGGCGCCGAGAGGCGCCAGGAAAATCAGCTCTACGTGAGCTGATGATCACCCCCCCCCTTTGCTATCCCCCCCTTTCGCCCGGGCCGATACTCCAAATCCCTTATTAATCGTCCCCCGGGTCGGGTTTTTTAAGGCGCCTGTTCTGTAACTCGGGGGGTCCGCTTTATTAGGGCGCTTTCTGTGGATTGGAGCTCAGGGGGTCCGGTTTATGAAGGCGCCCCGCCGAAGAGGGGGTTCCGGAAGATTAGGTCGCATTTGGAGGGGGGTCCGGTTTTTTTTGGGGGGTCGATTAATAAGGGATTTGGAGTGCATAAGAGAAATTATCCCGGCAAAGCAATCTAACAGCGATGTGTAGGAGCATATCTGGAAGCATTCCCCTTAGGATTCAGATGATAATCCAGTTGTAGAATTCTGCTGTTCTCGCAGTCGCAGTCGCATTCGCGATGACAGTCGCAGTGGCAACGGCAGTCGCAGTCACAGCCTCAGCCTCAGCCTGCCTCAGCATCAGCCTGCCTCAGCCTCCGCCTCAGCCTGCCTCAGCCTCAGCCTCAGCCTGCTTCAGCCTCAGCCTCAGTCTGCCTTCAGCCTCGGCCTCAGCCTCAGCCTGCCTCAGCCTCAGCCTGCATCAGCCTCAGCCTCAGCCTCAGCCTGCCTCAGCCTCAGCCTGCCTCAGCCTCAGCCTCAGCCTGCCTCAGCCTCAGCCTCAGCCTGCTTCAGCCTCAGCCTCAGTCTGCCTTCAGCCTCGGCCTCAGCCTCAGCCTGCCTCAGCCTCAGCCTGCATCAGCCTCAGCCTCAGCCTCAGCCTGCCTCAGCCTCAGCCTGCCTCAGCCTCAGCCTCAGCCTGCCTCAGCCTCAGCCTCAGCCTGCTTCAGCCTCAGCCTCAGTCTTCCTTCAGCCTCGGCCTCGGCCTCAGCCTGCCTCAGCCTCAGCCTGCATCAGCCTCAGCCTCAGCCTCAGCCTCAGCCTGCCTCAGCCTCAGCCTGCCTCAGCCTCAGCCTCAGCCTCTCAGCCTCAGCCTCAGCCTCAGTCTGCCTCTTCAGCCTCGGCCTCAGCAGCCTCAGCCTGCCTCAGCCTCAGCCTGCCTCAGCCTCAGCCTCAGCTCAGCCTGCCTCAGCCTCAGCCTCAGGCCTCAAGCCTCAGCCTCAGCCTGCCTCAGCCTCATCAGCCAGCCTCAGCCTCAGCCTCAGCCTGCCTCAGCCTCAGCCTCAGCCTCAGCCTCAGCCTCAGCCTCAGCCTCAGCCTCAGTCAGCCTCAGCCTCAGCCTGCCAGCCTCTCAGCCTCAGCCTCAGCCTCAGCCTGCCTCAGCATCAGCCTGCCTCAGCCTCAGCCTCAGCCTGCCTCAGCCTCAGCCTCAGCCTGCTTCAGCCTCAGCCTCAGTCTGCCTTCAGCCTCGGCCTCAGCCTCAGCCTGCCTCAGCCTCAGCCTGCATCAGCCTCAGCCTCAGCCTCAGCCTGCCTCAGCATCAGCCTGCCTCAGCCTCAGCCTCAGCCTCAGCCTCAGCCTGCTTCAGCCTCAGCCTCAGCCTCAGCCTCAGCCTCAGCTTCAGCCTCAGCCTCAGTCTGCCTTCAGCCTCAGCCTGCATCAGCCTCAGCCTCAGCCTCAGCCTGCCTCAGCATCAGCCTGCCTCAGCCTCAGCCTCAGCCTCAGCCTGCCTCAGCCTCAGCCTCAGCCTGCTTCAGCCTCAGCCTCAGTCTGCCTTCAGCCTCGGCCTCAGCCTCAGCCTGCCTCAGCCTCAGCCTGCATCAGCCTCAGCCTCAGCCTCAGCCTGCCTCAGCATCAGCCAGCCTCAGCCTGAGCCTCAGCTTTCCTCTGCCTCAGCTTCAGCCTGCTTCAGCCTCAGCCTCAATCTGCCTTCAGCCTCGGCCTCAGCCTCAGCCTGCCTCAGCCTCAGCCTGCATCAGCCTCAGCCTCAGCCTCAGCCTGCCTCAGCATCAGCCTGCCTCAGCCTCAGCCTCAGCCTGCCTCAGCCTCAGCCTCAGCCTGCTTCAGCCTCAGCCTCAGTCTGCCTTCAGCCTCGGCCTCAGCCTCAGCCTGCCTCAGCCTCAGCCTGCATCAGCCTCAGCCTCAGCCTCAGCCTGCCTCAGCATCAGCCTGCCTCAGCCTCAGCCTCAGCCTGCCTCAGCCTCAGCCTGCTTCAGCCTCAGCCTCAGTCTGCCTTCAGCCTCGGCCTCAGCCTCAGCCTGCCTCAGCCTCAGCCTGCATCAGCCTCAGCCTCAGCCTCAGCCTGCCTCAGCAGCCTCAGCCTCAGCCTCAGCCTCAGCCTCAGCCTCAGCCTCAGCCTCAGCCTCAGCCTCAGCCTCAGCCTGCTTCAGCCTCAGCCTCAGTCTGCCTTCAGCCTCGGCCTCAGCCTCAGCCTGCCTCAGCCTCAGCCTGCATCAGCCTCAGCCTCAGCCTGCCTCAGCATTCAAAATGTGGCCCGGGAATGGAGTTCTGGGAACTCGAAGAACACGAAGTGGCCTAAAGTTGGCTCCGGGCATTCAAAATCATGCCCAGGAATGGAGTTCTGGGAACTCGACGAGCACGAAGTGGCCTAAAGTTGGCTCCTCGCATTCAAAATCATGCCCAGGAATGGAGTTCTGGGAACTCGAAGACCACGAAGTGGCCTACAGTTGGCTCCAGGCATTCAAAATCATGCCCAGGAATGGAGTTCTGGGACCTCGAAGACCACGAAGTGTGTAACCGTTTGCTTAATACGACTTCCGCGGATTCTCCCCGGATCCTGCCCGGACCCCCCTGGGGAGTCATGATGCTTTCTTTTGAGACCATTAGAAACCTATCAGTCTTCGCTGTTAGGTAAAAACCCAATCAGTGGATGGTTTTCGCTGAGGAGATCGACCGGGAACCCGGGAGCCCAGAGCCCACCGAAATCGGCCGGGAACCAAGAACCCGGAAACCCGGGAACCCGGAACCGGGAGCCCGGGAACCCAGCCTGCTACCAAAGTTGGCGGGACATTGTCGCCAAAACTTTCAATTTCCGCTAGGACCCCTTCAGTTCAGCGGGCGAAGAACGGTATAAAAAATATATGTGTTCGCCGTGGGAGACACCTGCCCCTGGGCGGCTGGAAAGTTTATACCCCTACGGTGCCACCGTAAGGGTATAAACTTTCCAGCCGCCCAGGGGCAGGTGCCCCCACGGCTAAAAAAAATATGTTATACCGTTATTCGCCCGTTAATCAGTGCAAGCACTGATTGGTGAAAGTGGTGAGGATGGGGGGAAGGCCAGTCGAGACGACGGCGGCCCCCCCTAGCGTTTCCATTCCTTCTTCCGCCCCCCTTGAGAGCAGGATTGCAAAAAACAAAGGATTGCAAGATTGCCAAACAAACAAAGGATTGCAATCCTAGGTTTTTTTGCAATCCTGGAGGCTTTTTTCGTCGCCACGGTTGGACCCGCCTCGAGAAGCGAATCGGGGTGGATCTTGGGAGGGGCGATTTTGACAGGGTTTGGGCCGTGCAGGATAGCCGTCTTTGTCTCAATCGGCCCTCCTCCGATGGGGAGAGGAGGAGCGAGGGGAGGCGGGAGGAGGGGGTAGTGGAGGTCCTGGAGGGAGGGGGGGGGGGCGGGGCAAGGGAGGGACCCCATCGAGGCGTTCGGTGGCTTTCGGCTTTTTGTCCAAAGGTTCTCGCATGTTCTCTCGGGGGTCGGTATGACTCCAAGAGTTTCATTGAAGGGAGAAGGGGATGAGAAGAGGCGGAAGGGAGGAGGGACGCATGAGGAGCGAATAGGAGGAAAAGAGGGAAATGGAAGTCGATGGACTTGTGATGAGGAAAGAGATGCATGAGGATGGGAGGTGGATATTGGATACTACTTTTCAATGGTTCGAGGAGGAGGCGGAGGAGGAAGAGGAGAATGAGGAGAAGGAGGAGGATGAGGAGGAGGAGGAGGAAGAGGAGGAGCGAGAGGAGAAGCGAGAGGAGGAGGAGGATGAGGAGGAAGAAGAGGAGGACGAGGAGGAGCTTTGCGAATCTGACGATGAGGCAGAGAGTTAATAGACGCGAGTTCAGGAAGAGCGAGAGAGAGAGAGAGAGAGAGATGACGATGTGGGAGTAGGTGTGGGAGAGATGGGATCGGATTGAGGTAGGAGCAGGAGAAGGAGGAGGAGGAGGAAGAGAAGGAGGAGGAGGAGGACCACACTGAGTGGAGAGATGAGGACGAGGACGAGGACGATGCATCGAAGGAGGAGCACAGTAGGAAGAGGGTGAAGAGGAGGAGGAGGGATGAGACACGGAGGGGGGAGACCAGGTGGGAGAGAAGAGGGAGGAATGGGGAAGGAGGGATGGAACAGGGAGGAGGAAGAGGAGGAGGAGGAGGAGGAGGAGGAGGAGGCCGCAGGAGGCTAAGGAAGGGTGATGAGGAGAAGAAACAGGGGAGGAGGAGGAGGAGGAGGAGGAGAAGGAGGAGGAGGAGGAGGAGGAGGAGGAGACGGAGGAGAAGGAGGAGGATGGAACAGGGAGGAGGAGGAGGATGGAACAGGGAGGAGGAGGAGGAGGAGGAGGAGGAGGTGGAGGAGGAGGAGGAGGAGGAAGAGGAGGCAGGAGGAGGAGGAGAAGGCAGCAGGAGGAGGACAAGACAGCAGGAGGAGGAGGAGGACGGTGATGGGGCGGCCGGGGCGGCGGAATTCGGAGAATCCAGGGTGATGGGCAGGAGCCCCACGAGGGTGCGCCCAGGCCACCAGGAAGGCTCACCCAGCTGGTCGGGGAGGAAGTAGCTAAGTACCAGCCAGCACCAGGCGTGGCCGCCCCGACCCTGGTCATCCTTGCTCCTCCACCTGCCATCAGCAGTTGTTGTTAGTCGAGGGTCGGGAGGGGGAGCAGAATGGTTGCAATGAGTATGCTCTTGCATATGTGTATATATATGTATACACATCGCATCTTGAGCCGATGGAGGTCGATTCAGGGTTGGTGGCTGGGCCAAGCAGTCCTTAGACTAAGGATGACCGGCATCGGGAGTTGCCCGCTGACACCTTGCCGAGCTCATGAGCGAGACCCGTGTGGGCTCGCGGAAGCGGCAGGCGGAGGCGCTAGAGGAGGCCACGGCGATCGCTTCTTTGTCGTCGGGGGTGGCGGGCTACCATGCGCTCGGCGCGGACGAGGTAGTCCACGGTGGTCGGAGAAGGGGGGGCATCCAGGAGTATGTTGTAGCATCGAGCACCTGCAGATTGTTTTTCTCATCCGTCCCATACACAAGGAGTGTGTGCCAGTTCTTTTCTATGTGTTCAATTCTGTCCAGGGCCTCTGGGAATCTTCGGGGAACTCCGAGAGACTCTTCTGGGTGTCCTCTGGGGGACTACGCAGACTTGCCGGGGAAGCCGAGGAGATACCTGGAGTACTAATCAAAACCTCGTTGCCAATCCGTGTTTGGGAGGAAGAGGAAAAGGTGCCGGCAGCGATGTCTTGGTCAGAACGCTTCCCGGGAGAGATCCATGGAGTATCGCTTTCGATATTTCTGTCTTTCAATGACGAGGCTGGCTGTCAGATGACATGGAGATAGCGACGCGGAGGGGGAGGAGGATGAGCCCGATGATGCTGCTGCTGATGATGATGATGATGATGCTGATGATGATGATGATGCAGATGATGATGATGATGATGATGATGATGATGATGATGATGATGAGGATGAGGATGAGGATGAGGATGAGGATGAGGATGAGGATGAGGATGATGATGCTGATGCTGATGCTGATGCTGAGGATGATGATGATGATGATGATGATGATGATGATGATGATGATGATGATGATGATGATGCTGATGCTGATGCTGATGCTGATGCTGATGCTGATGCTGATGCTGATGCTGATGCTGATGATGATGATGATGATGATGATGATGAGGAGGAGGAGGAGGAGGAGGAGGAAGAAGGCGGAGGAGGAAGGAGGATGAGGAAGGCGGAGGAGGAAGGTGGAGGAGGAGGAGGATGAGGAAGGGGAGGAGGAGGTGGAAGGCGGAGGAGGACGACGAAGACGAGGGCAACACGGACGACGACAAGGGTCGGGCGCAGCCAGCGGTGTCCCAGGCCCAAGGCGTGCCCAGGGTTTCCTGGGAGGCTCAGATGGCCTTCCGAGCCAGATGGGCAGAGTGCCAGAGGGCTCCAACACGGCCCGGGGCCAGCCAACATGGCGCGAAAAGTTGGGGCCACCTTGGGCCCAGTCGTGCGTGTCCCTACAGGAGGAATGTTTAATCATAGTCAAACAATAGTCTGGAACGATCGTTTGCACATTGTTTGACAACTTTTGGGGTACTCTTTGAGCTGGTTCTTGCATTTTGCGCCCAGCGTCCACCTGCAGGGGACGTGCCCGACCTGACCCCTGGGCCACCACCGCCCCTTCCGGCGCCCCACCGACAAGGGGGGGGCGGTGGAGGCCCCCACGGGCTGCCCCGAGGTCGCCTTGGACCGCCTCCTGCGGGGGCTTGCCGCGGAGCTCCCCGACTCGGCGGTCTCGAGCTCCTTCCTGGAGCAGAAGGCCCTCCCCCCCTTCCTGCCCGTCCCCTCTCCGTCGCCCTCCTCATGCCTCCTCCTCCATCCCCCTCCCTGAGACGCCTTCGACGACGCAGGCAGGTTTGTCCGAGGGTCGAGTCCGTCGAGCGCCCCTCTTTGCCCGACCGTCGCGAGAGTCCTGGAAACGTCCAGCAGCTCCCCCTCCCGGTGCTGCTCCTCTTCCGCCTCCCACCCTTCGTCGCTCCTCACTCCCTCCCCAGGTATCCATTATCCTCCCTGCCCATCCCCGTCCGTGCCCTCCTCCCCCTCACCCACCCATCCCATCCATCTTGGCCATGTCCCACTCCTCCTCTCTCTGACGCCTGCCCTTCGCCCATCACAACGTCCTCTCTGGCGCCGTCCACCCGCCTGTCCCGCATACAGGTGTTTCACCACCTGGAGCTCGCAGGGTGAAATTTTCGAGTATGGTGCATCTCTTGGGACACGGTCGGCGCCGGCCCTTCGGAGGGAGCTCTCGCCTCGAGGATTGCCGCATTCTTGTCCATTCGGCGCCGTCCTCCCGCCCCTAACGCACAGTGGTTTTGTCGGATGTGTTTTGCACGCGTTCGCCCACGCGGAAGGTCCTCGGCAGTTCCGACGGGCTCTCTCGCCCGTGTGCCTGCCACACTTTTGCTGACCGTCGGTGTTGCTACTCCTCTTCTCTCGCGTGAGAGTGTGCCGCCGTCTACCCGCCCGTCCCACGCATCTATCACGCTCAGGATTTCAAGCGGTGATATGGTGAAGTTGGTCTGCTATTAGGATCGGGTGGTACTAAGAGGTGGTCTCGGTTCGAAGCAGGGGTCCACCTAAACGGTGTTTATGCCATTTCGTGAGCCGCTTTCGTTTTGAGTATGTTTTGCAGTAAAGGCGGACTGCGGATAAGACGAGGGATAACGAATCTAAACGAACACGAAAACCATTGCTTAGGTCGATCCCTGGTTCGAAGGTGGGAGCACCTTGGTGTCTCCAGCTTTCTGCGCCACTTTGGAGCCCCGTGCAGCCATCTTGGCCTCGTGATGGGGTACTCTATAGGCCATCTGGGCTCCCAGAAATCATGGGGGCCTTGGGCTTGGGGCACCCTCATCGGGGGCGGCAAGAGGGGGGTGATGACTAGGGGGGATGAATCTCGTGGCGGGGGCCACGATGTCTCCCCAGACCTCATGGTGCCTCTTTTTATTTCAACGCGTTCCCTTGCCCCCCCCCCTGATCCGCCCGCATGCCTCGGGCCATGATTCATGGGCTTACGCCACACCGCCGACCCCCTTTGGGCGGTGTGGGCTGCGTCGTTTGGGGCTTCTTGGTCCGAGTTGGGGTGCTCTCGTGTGCCTCTTGGACCGTCGTCAACGCTGACAAGGCAGTCGAGTCGTGCATACGATGAAAATCGAAGGGTGCTTTCTTGGGGGGCCTCATCGACGCCGCTTCGGCTGTGGTGGGCCCTTTTGAGGGGCCGCCTGGGGCCCCCATTGGGGCTTCTCGGGGCCGGTTGCTCGACATGGCCATTCTGGTTCTCCCTCTGGGCCTCCTCCTGCGTGCTGGGGCGTGGCGCCAGGGGGCGCTGCAGAGGGCTGGCGTGCTGGGGCGTCGCGCCAGAAAAATCGCGGGTTGTTCGGCGGATCGCCACGCATGGAGGAGGAGAAGGAGGAGGAGGAGAAGGAAGAAGAGGAGGAGGAGGAGACGGACGAGGAGGTGGAGGATGAGGAGGCGGAGGAGGAGGAGAAGGAGGAGGAGGAGGAAGAGGAGTCTTGGGACCGATTTTGCCACACATGGTGGTCATCCTAACCTCCCCTTGGGGCGTCATCCTCCTACCCCCCCTGTCCCTGCCATTGGTCGTCGTCCTGCAAGGTCGTGGCGTTCGTGTGCCGGAGGTATATATCCAAGACGCCTACGGCGAATCACCGCCGCCCCCTGCCTTTTTGGAAGTGCCTCTGTGGCCGAACGTTGAGGTCAGACCTGCCAAGCTATCGGACCATGTGTTCCCCGAATCGGTTTGGAAAGCCTTCGGGGAACACGTGGGCATCTTGAAGGTCATCTTGGCCGTCGGTAGGCCATTTTGACAATTTCAGGCTTTCTTGGAGGACGTCTTGGAGGGCTCTTGGGCCGTCTTGGAGGCCATCTTGAGCGTCTTAAAGGGCTCTTAGGCCGTCTTGGGGCCCTCTTGGGGCCGTCTTGGGCCTATTGGGCGATCTTTGGGGGCACGTGGGCCGTCTCGGGCCGTCGGAAGGCAGAACAAAAAGCCAATGCCACAGTCCTATTTAAAAACTCTTTGGAAATCTATGATTTTGGCCTTTCTGGGCCTTCCTGGAGGCCCTCTTGGAGGCCTCCTGGGCCGTCTTGGGGGCCTTCTTGAAATGTTCCAAGGCCGTCTTGGAGGCCATCTTGGGCGTCTTAAAAGCCTCCTGGGCCGTCTTGGGGGCGTCTTGGGGCAGTTTTGGGGGCATTTGGGACCGTTCTGGGCCCATCTTGGAAGCCCCTTGGGCGATCGTTGGGCGATCTTTGGGTGCTCTTGGGCCGTCTCGGGCCGTCGGAAGGCCGAAAAGAAGCAAATGTCAAAATCCTTCAAAAACCATAGGACAATGAAAGTGTTGTTGTCTTTTTTCTGGCCTTCCTGGAGGCCCTCTTGGAGGCCTCTTGGTCCGTTTTGGGCCATCTTCGAGCCAACTGGAGGCCATCTTGGTGGGTTGCTGGTCCGTCTGACGCCGTCGGGAGCCGTCTTGGGGGCCTCCCTGGGCCGACTTGGGGCCCTCTTGGGGCGCTCCGGGGCCGGCTTGGCGGCCATCTTGGGCGTCTTGGAGGCCTCTTGGCCGGTCTTAGGGCCCTCTTGGGGCCGTCTTAGGGGCCTCTTGGGCCGTCATGGAGCCCTCTCGGAGGCCTCGTGGGCTGTTTTGGGGCGATCTTGGCGGCCTCTTGGGCCGTCTTGAGCCGTCGGAATGCCGAGAAGAGGCAAATGCAAGAATCTTTCAAAACACCTAAGGAAAACACATAATTTTGGCCTCTTCGGGCCCTCCTGAAGGGCCTTTTCGAGACCTCTTGGGCTGTCTTGGAGGCTTCTTGGGTGAACTCGAAGGTATCTTGGACCCTCTTGGGCCGTCTTGGAGGCCATCTTGGACCATCTTGGGCGGACTTGGAACCCATCTTGGACCATCTTGGGCGAGCTTGAGGGCCATCTTGAGCCGTCTTGGAGAATTTGTTGTGGACGTTGAGGTCGTTTGCGCGCCTGGAGTTCCCTCCCGGGACCCCGGCGGGACGGGCCGAAGCGCCAGGGGGAGTTCTTTTGGAAAAAAACAAAACCAAACCGTGAGAAGTCCAGCACGCCAGGCACTCCTGCGATGAATCGACGGGGGGCGGCGGATCGAAGACGCCTACGGCGAATCACCGCCGCCACCTGCCTTTTTGGAAGCGCCTATGTGGCCGAACGTTGAGGCCAGACCTGCCAAGCTATCGGACCATGTGTTCCACGAATCGGTTTGGAAAGCCTTCGAGGAACACGTGGGCATCTTGAAGGTCATCTATCTGGGCCGTCGGTAGGCCATTTTGACAATTCCAGGCCTTCTTGGAGGACGTCTTAGAGGGCTCTTGGGCCGTCTGGGAGGCCATCGTGAGCGTTTTGCAAGCCTCTTGGGCCGTCTTGAGGCCTCTTGGGGCCGTTTTGGGCGATCTTTGGGGGCACGTGGGCCGTCTCGGGCCGTCGGAAGGCAGAAAAACAGCCAATGCCACAGTCCTTTTAAAAACTCTTGGGAAATCGATGATTTGGGCCTTTCCGGGCCTTCCTGGATGCCCTCTTGGAGGCCCCTTGGGCCCGCTTGGGCCATCTTAAGGCCATCTTCGGCCGTCTTGGTGGGCTCCTGGCCGTCTGACGCCGTCGGAAGCCGTTTGGGGGGTCTCTCTGGGCCATTTTGGGGCCCTCTTGGAATGCTCCAGGGCCGTCTTGGAGGCCATCTTGGGCGTTTTAAAGGCCTCCTGGGCCATCTTGGGGGCCTCTTGGGGCCGTCTTGGGGGCCTCTGGGGCCGTCATGGGGCCATCTTGGGGGCCTCTTGGGCGATCTTTGGGCATACTTCGGGGGTTCTTGGGTCGGGCCGTCGAAAGGCCTCCTGGAGGGCTCTTGGGCCGTCTTGGGCCAGCTTCGAGCCATTTTCGGCCATCTTGGTGGGCTCCTGGCACTTCTGACGCCGTCGGGAGCCGTCTTGGGAGCTCCCTGGGCCGACTTGGGGCCCTCTTGGGGCGCTTCGGGGCCGTCTTAGAGGCCATCTTGGCCCGTCTTGGGGCCCTCTTGACCCGTCTTGGGGCCCTCTTGAGGCCGTCTTGGGGGCCTCTTGGGCCGTCATGGGGCCATCTTGGAGGCCTCTTGGGCGATCTTGGGGCGACCTTGGGGGCCTTTGGGGCCGTCTTGGGCCGTTTGAAAGCTGAAAAGGCGCAAATGCCAAAATCAGTCAAAAACCTATGGATCATCAATGATTTTCGCCTCTGCGGGCCTTCCTGGAGGATCTCTTGGAGGCATCTTGGGTCGTCTTGGAGGCCTCTTCGGGTCTGTCTTGGGCCAGCTTGAGGCCATCTTAGGCTTTTTGGGTGCATCTTGGGCCGTCTTGGAGGCATCTTGGGGCCATCTTAGCCGTCTTGGAGGCCATCTTGGCAGTCTTGGAAGCATCTTGGAAGCCATCTTGGGCCATCTTGGAGCCGTCCGGGGCAGGAAAACCCACGGCAACCACCTCCGGAAGAGCCTCCCGGGACCCCAGCGGGACGCGCCGAAGGCCCAGGGGGAGTTCTTTTGGAAAAGAACCAAAGCCAAAACCGAGAGGGTCTAGCACGCCAGGCGCCCCTGCGATGAATCGACAGGGGGCGGCTGGACTTCGGCCCATCCCGCCACCGTGCCTTGGCTGTCGGCCTGAGATCCTTGGTGACTGGTTTGTGGGTTGGGAGTTTCATGCCTCAAGTGGTACTTGGGGCTTCTTTTGAGCTTCTTGGGGGCCTCTGGGGGGGCCTCTTGGGGG